GCCAGGCAGACCGCACATGGAGTCACCCTGTACCAACCTGCCCTTGTAAGGGTTTTGCTTCTTTTATGTACAAAATAGCTGCAAGTCAAGAATTCTTACTTTTACATGTCGAGGAATCTTTCAATCATGATTTGTCCAAACGTTTATGTTTTCTGTGCTGTTTGCTCTGTTATGGGTTTGTATGAATGAGGGTTTGAGGACACTGCAGATTTTAGTAAAGCTGTGACTGCATCCATAAGGATATTTTCTATATGGCTGTGTCAGCAAAATGAAGGACTTATCTTGATTATGGCCTTTTACATTTTTTCAGGGTTAACGCTGAGTAGGACGTTCAATGGTTGCAAGAAAGAATTTTTATTTCACATCAGGGCTAAATGGGCCCATAGTTATGCCCATTCTGTGCATCAGGCCTGTCTAACACTCCTGTTTTTACCTGACCCTATTGCAATGTCCCCCCTAGTGTTAGCATTAGTCCAGTTCAAGTCACCAAGGTGACTAGTCACACATCTTCATCACACTCCTATCACCCAATCAGCTATTCCCATCTAGTCACCCGGCCTGAGCTTTTTTAAAAAAACATTGTTTCTATTCCTTCTAGATGGAGAGTGTCCTGGGCTCACAGCGCCCGTGAACGGTAACATGACCGGTAAGAACTTCATCTGGCACGTGGTGGAGTTCAGCTGTGATGACGGCTACGACCTGACAGGTGCACCCAACACCACCTGTCTGTTAAACCGCACCTGGACTGAGCTGGCCCCAGTCTGCACTGGTAAGGCATTGTGTCTTTTAATGACTGAAATAGGTGAAAGCTACTCTAGATAAACTGTTTTGTCGTGTGTATACTATGTATGCATTAGTTTAATCCTTACTATTTGACCAAAATGTCTTTTATGTCAAAATGTCAGTTAACTTAGCCTCCCAGGGTACCATCCGGATTTTCGCTCCGCAAAATCTGGATGGCACCCAGGCTAAGTTAACCAAGATGTAGTAGAAAACTCTATAGATTTTTCTAAAAGTGTCGCAAAAAGATGGAAGAAACATATAAAGCATACTTATTAGATATAGGTAGAACAATAGCATAGCATAGTTTCCCTCCTAACTTACTGCAGCCCCAACGGGGCATGATTATGCAATAATCGTGGGGACATGTGGCACCTTGGAACCAAAAGGTCCCAGGTTCAAACCCTGCCATGCCACCAATCTTGTGCTCTTTGGAAAGGCACTTTACACAAATTTCCTCACTTTACTCAGGTGAAAATGAATATGTTGTTCATTGGTACGTTTGTCTGCATTGGTGGTGGCATGAAAATAAGTTGAAAAGCTTTGTCTTCGCCATGTCTTGTAAAAAATAATGAAATTTAAAAAAATGCAATAAACTTCGTTGTCATGTTTCAGCCATTGAGTGTCCGTACCTGCCAGCTCCTGACAATGGTGGGATGAGCGGTTCCTACTCCTTCCTGGACGTGCTGACCTTCACCTGTCAATCAGGGTACATCCTGGAGGGTGTGGACGCTATCATCTGCCAGGCAGACCGCACATGGAACGACACTGCACCCAACTGTACAGGTAAAGCAATTGTTGTATCCAGAGCCGGGTCTTAGGCATGGTTCAGGATAGCCCACGCGTCTAGAACCCTGCCTGGGCTTGTGGTAAATCTACATTCTTGGCTACCTATCCAAAACCGCGCTTGATCCTAACTGAAACTCATTCAGGCATAGAACTTAAGATAGGCACGGTTCTGGATACAAAGGTAAGGCATTGGTGTGTTTTATTTGGTTTTGTTTTGGGAGGAGACATTTCCTAAAAGCTGATTCAGTTCTGAATTGCAAAGTTCTTTTCTGTGGAGTATTCGTCTACAATGCATGAGAAGCTTTTCCTGATTTTACCTGCTTGGACAGAGTGCATTACTAGATCTGTCATTTGCAAATGTGGTCCTCCCAGTGCTCCATCTTTAATAGCAAGAGCCTGTTGAGAACTATCATTAAAAGTACACAACCCAAAATGTCTAATATATTATTTTTCAGCTGTACAATGCCCACCCCTGCCGCCTCTCATAAACGGAACAAAGACCGGAGAGGAGTACTACCCGAACTACGTACAGTTTGAGTGTGACACGGGTTACAACATCGCGGGTCCCACCAACATTATCTGCCAGGCAGATGCCACCTGGAGCGAAAGGCCACCAAACTGCACGAGTAAGGATTTAGATTTGCATCTTCCGTGTACTCACTCACTTCCTCACTCACTCTCACTCACTCACTCACTCACTCACTCACTCACTCACTCACTCACTCACTCACTCACTCACTCACTCACTCACTCTCACTCACTCACCACACTCACTAACTCACTAACTCACTCATTCACTCACACACTCATTCACTCACTCACTCTTATTCACTCACACACTCATTCACTCACTCACTCACTCACTCATTCACTCACACACTCACTCATTCACTCACTCACTCACTCATTCACTCACTCACTCACTCTCAGCATGATGTTTGGCAAAGGTTTTATACTACTGACAATCTTCTGCCAGTCTGGTCATCTGGTTGGCTGTTTGACCAGTCCACTCATCGTGTACAGAATTGACAAAGATTAGCAGAAAAAAGGTCGTAGTTTTACTGATACAGTGATTTCTACCAGACTTCTTTCATTGCATGCTGGAATGATAGTTGAAATTGCCAAACTATTGCTGATGGCTTGTTGAAGAGTGTCAGCCAGCCATAGAATTACTCTTCCTCGATTACTCTGCAATTTCATTGTCAACTAATCCCATACAAATCATCACCTCATTCTTCCATTTCTTCAGCAGCAACAAGCGTCTGGTTGAAACCAGTTTTACTGAAGATTCAGACATTGAAAGGAACGATTATGAATTTCTCTGTCCCATTTTTACAGTTGTGCAGTGTCCTCAACTGACCACTCCTGATCACGGTTCCATGACTGAAGGACAGGTCTACCAGGACGTGGTGGATTTCATCTGCGACGTGGGTTATTTGATGATAGGCGTGGCAAACATCACCTGTCAGGCTGACGGCACATGGACTGAATACGCTCCCACCTGCACAAGTAAGGCTTTATTGTCTCCAGAACCGTGCCTATGCAGTTCTATATTTTTGCCTGAATTGGTTACATCTCGAGTTATGACTTATTAAGGCATATAAGTGGCGTCGGTGGCGCAACGGTTAGAGCATTGGACTCAGAACCAACAGGTCTCGGGTTCGATACTCACGACGTTGTGCCCTTGGGAAAGGCACTTTACACGACTTCCCCACCATGTACGGTGGAGTGACACCCACCGAGCCTCTTATAGGCTAATAGTCTATCTGGGTGCCAAAAACACCCTACGGATTTGGTGCGCCAATGTGTCAACATCAGCACATTTGCGACCAAGAGCCGTTGAATTTTTTCTTTTCTTTTATGACTAGGCATGGTTCTGGATTGTGAACACATAATCCAAAGCACGTCAATTTCCCCAGTTACTGTTCTAAGATTCACATGGACTGTCTAGAACCTTGCTTCAGCATAGTTCTGTATAAATCGCTTTTTTTGGATGCGAGGTGACTATCCAGAACCGTGAGACAGTATGGTTTTGGATGCAGCACGGTTCTAGCTGGATACAGTTATTAGAGTCTTTTGTCGATGCAAGTCAGATCAAAGTTCTGCTGAAAAGAGTACTTGCCAAGAAATGCTTAATAAAAGTTGATTTTCTTCATCCTTTAGTCGTCAAGTGCCCTCTACTGGTTGGACCTTTAGATGGTACACTGAGTGGCGAGAACTCCTACGAGGACGTTGTGAAGTTCACCTGTAACCTGGGTCACGAGCGTCATGGTGTGGAGAACATCACGTGCCTGGCAAACGGCACATGGAGTGGGGATGTCCCCACATGCACAGGTAAGGCATTGTCACGGTGCCTCTCTCCATCTGTCTTTCAGCAGTCTGAAAAGACTTATGACTTAAACTGTGCAAAGAAACAGGATGGTACAGTGCCACTGTAATGTTCCTTTACAAAATCATCAAATTAAAGTTGAGATCACATGCAAATACAAAAGCCAAGGTTTAAATTCATCGTTCAAAAGAGAAGTTAAGGGGGCTGCTTGACAGCCTTTTGTCATCTGTATTCACGTTTGTCCTCTTGACTTCGGTGGAAAAGGCCTTTTTAAAAAAATCCTCCAAGTTCACAGTATACTAATTGAAATATAGAGGATGCCATCTGAAACGTCTTACTCTTTAGAAAATTTATCCAGGTGCTTGATATATTTTATACCATGCAATGTTCTACCTGAATGTCTAACCTTCATTAATGATCCTCTTCAATATCCTGTGTCCTTTCTTACAGAAATCCAGTGCCCGTCGCTGGAAGCTCCTCTCAACGGCTCCATGAGTGGAGAGAACTGGTACCAGGACGTGGTGCAGTTTGCCTGCGACCCTGGGTATGACCTTGTTGGTGTGGGGAGTGCCATGTGCCTGGCAGACCGCACCTGGAGTAGCGATACCCCCAACTGCACACGTGAGACTTTTTTCTATCCTAAGTTCTAGGCGTAATCTCAGTATTTAAACAAATTCTGTGCAAATGAGTAGGTTAACCAAATAATACTAATTTTCCTACATGTAATCTGAAAATGTTAGTCTCAGGTGTCATAGGCTCTTTAAAATAAAGAAAATTGAGAAATTTTCTTTTGGAGAGTTACTGTCATCATTCACCAGTTTTTGCATCTATTAGAAACGTCATTTAGCAGCATTCAGTCTTCTAACATCTCTCTCTCTCTCCCTCTCTCTCTCTCTCTCTCTCTCTCTCTCTCTCTCACTCTCCCTCAAAGACTTATGACTTACAAACAGGATCATACAGTTTCCTTACAAATCAAATTCAAATTCCAATACAAGTATAATTTTAAGTCCAACTATGAGTTCATTATTCACTTGTAGTGGGCCTGCTTGGCAGCACTAGAAGTGTAATCGAGTACTTTTCAAACATTTTTCAGGCGTGAAATGTCCTCATCTGTCCGCCCCTTGGCGAGGTAATATGACGGGTGACAATCTGTACCAGGATGTGGTCCAGTTCACCTGTGAGCCGGGTTACGACCTTATAGGAGTGCCCAACGTCACCTGTCAGGCGAGTGCCACATGGAGTGGCAGCGTCCCAACCTGCACACGTGAGGCTTCATGTTTTGTTTTTATTTTTGTTGTTGTTGTACACAGTTGTTTGTTTGATTAAGCCTGGGTGACGTCCTAGTAGTTATCGCTGGCTCCCTACAAATGTACATTGCTGGCTATCTGTGGTGGTGGGCAACATTGGTGAGACTACCGGTATGGAGGATGGTACCCAGGCTATTTCTTTTGTCAAAGTGTACAGAGGCGTTGTTTTTGGTTCCTCTGTCTGTGTGTTTGTTTGCTTGTTTGTGTGTCCGTAATGGAGTTGAAACCACAGACGAGAATGGCACAGGAAATAGAGGTCAGAGAAGGAAGAATTAGTCAATGTTAAATCAACTTTGACGGACATCACAGGTCATGAGGTCAAGGGTAGAGACTACTAATTCCTGGATAGGTATTTTAGTATGAATTGAGCATAAGTCCAATTATTAGTTTTGAATGTATTGAGTACAAGCCCATACTAGTTTTAATTTTGCTTTATGCATCTCATTTACCTTGAAGAGGACTAAAGAATTATTTTCCCATGTTGCAGGTGCACAGTGTCCCGAGCTGACAGCTCCTGCAGATGGTGCGATGGTTGGCTCTAACTTCTTCGAGGACGTTGTACGGTTCACCTGTTACGCAGGGTACGATCTTGTCGGCGCGCAGAATGCAACTTGCCAGGCATCCGCTACATGGAGTGACGACGTCCCAGTCTGCTCATGTGAGGCTTGGTATTTTTTTTATGAAGGAAACACTTAAGTCAACATCTTTCAATCTTATTACAAGTTGCTAGCCTGGGTGCACTGTCTTCATCTCTTATTAACAGAGAAGTGACAAAGAGAACAGTACTAAAGCTATAATGGCCGGCATACAGGCTAATAAGCTGTATGCTAGCCAGGCTAGTAAGTTGTATGCTAGCCAGGCTAATACATTGTATGCTAGCTAGGCCAATACATTGTATGCTAGCTAGGCTAATACATTGTATGCTAGCCAGGCTAATACATTGTATGCTAGCCAGGCTAATACATGGTTGTATGCTAGCCAGGCTAGTAAGTTGTAACATGTACACTAGACAGCTTGCATTTTCAGTCCTTAATTTACTCCTACTCATGACTTTCTAAATTTTCGTTCACGTTTCAAACCCAGCCGTCCCGTGCCCCCCATTGCCACCGCTGGTAAACGGCGTCCAATCCGGTGGCAGCTCAACCTATGTCTACGGTGAGGAGGTGAACTTCCAGTGTGATGCAGGATTCCATCTGCTCGGGTCATCCTTACGCAGCTGCCTGGCTGATAGCACCTGGAGCGGCTGTACACCTACATGCACAGGTAAATCATTAAAGAACAAACTAAAGATTATTGGTTATTTTAGACGTGTAGTCTAATTCAGACCTCTATGTACTATATAGAATAGCATACATTTGTAGGTTAGTAATAGTTACAGGTTGTTGTATTTTATGTGTAGCAATAAGCAAGTGTACATACGTCTGTGTTGTAAGTCTGTAATGTGTTTTTAAGACTCCAGGAAGAATAGTGAGTATAAGCGTATGGTGAGTACAATGTATGCATACTCACTATTGGAGATCCTTCAAATAAACAAATAAACCTCAACTTCCTGAGTCCCTACCGACTCCTGATCAGAGTCATTTCTTTTATCTGGTCTTTGACCTCCTGTCATTCTTCCTGTCAGTCTCCCCACCCACGTGCTGTCAACTTACTCTATCTGGACAAGGAGACACACAAACACACTGCTTAGCCACCAAAAACAATACTTCTGACCATAGAAATCCCATGCCGAAGACATTCCCTATCACTCCTCCTGTATTTTATACATCAACACAGTGATGTCTTAATGCATTTTTTGTCACAGTGGATATAATGTTAAATTGTACTACTATCTAATATTGTAAGTACAATTAAGGCTATTCCTTTTTTCACAGATATCAACGAATGCTCCATTTCAAACGGCGGTTGTGGGCAAATCTGCACCAACACATTTGGGAGTTTCCAGTGCTCGTGTCGGATTGGTTACACCCTGAACAGTGACGGGTTTGCCTGTGATGGTGAGCATCTTTCTCATCAAGTTTTTGTCCTGGGAATTGTTCTTTGATTTCTGACTTTTTTGACCGACCAGTTTCTCTACTTTAAATCAGTTCAGTTCAGTTCAGGTCATCCTCTTTTGAGGTGCCATTCATAATGTCTCTCCACGTGACTCTGTCGCGCATGGCAGACAGAAGTTCCTCATCCCGTAGGCCACCCTCTTCCTCGATCAGTTTCTTCAGCGTTAGGCACGGACGTCCCCTCCTTCTTTTTACATCCGGTTGCCAGAGAAGCACTTTGGCAGCACTTTTTTTTAAATAAAGTACCTTAAGACATAGCAACGTGCAACAATTTCACAATTCTTCAGTTGTATAAAACTTTTTTTTTACTACAGATGTGGATGAATGTGCCTCTGCAAACGGTGACTGTGAGCAGATCTGTACCAACACTATTGGCAGTTTCCAGTGTTCCTGTGAGGTTGGCTATAGACTGAATGACGACCGGTTTTCCTGTGATGGTAAAGATCTTTTGTTTCATAAATTATTTCCACAAACCAGTAAGTTAAACACTGTCATCTTTAGTTAATAAAACATCATTCTATATTTTATCAAATCGAATGCTACATGACTGTACAGTATGCTATGCCATATTTTTTATGTTTATGCTTCCTTAAAATTATGTACTGTGCTATGTTATGTAATAATGCTATGTTTTATTTTGTGTCACAGTGTTATGTGCACAAATCAAACGTCTGTGAATATGAAATGGTTTTCAATTTGTCTTGCTGTTTGATCTCGATAATGGATTTTGGAACAGGTCAGATTTACCTTCAATCATTTAGATCAATAAGGGAGCATGGCCTTGCCAGTGTAAAATTAAACCCGCTGAATATAGGGCCACCTGGAGGTGCAGTGTGAAGACCACTACTACTAGCCGTCACTGGTGCCGACCCCTGTGGCAGGGACACTAGCAGCAGTATAATCAAATCCTGGATAGTAAGTATGAGTGTGAGTGATATTTCTCTGTCTGTGTTTCAGCCGTCCAGTGTCCCCAGCTAACAGCCCCTCTGAACGGTGGACATACGGCCGGCAGCTCCTACCCGACAGTGGTACAGTTCACCTGTGACACGGGCTACAATCGTGTAGGTGCGGGGAGTATCGCGTGCCAAGCAGACGGCACGTGGAGTGACAGCGCCCCAACCTGCACACGTGAGGCTTTGAGTTTTTTTAATGTTTTTTTTTATACAGGAGATTTACCATAATTTCCAATCTTACTTGTGCTGAAAAGGCATTAATGAGTTGAAAATGACTTGAAACTTGAAACCAAAAGTCCCAGTCACACATTCAGAACCTTCCTCCGACCACCAACCAACCAAGGTTGGCCTGTAGTTCTGGAACAGTCTGATCAGATTTAGGCCATGCCTACCTTTCATATGTTCAAATCGTATCGAATTTGAGTTGAATTTGAGTCAAATTTGACTCCAGAATACAGCCCAAACACTGCTGCCAGCCAAAAGTTACCATGTTTGCCGGAATTCAGCACTGTTCAGGAGGCTAGATAATATATTTGGCTATGTGTGACAGGGGCAAGGTTTCAAATGTTGAAGTTATAAAATGTTTTTCATTTTTTGCTGTTTTAACTTGGCCTTGACGGAGATATGTCCTTGATTATTTTTACATTCATGAAGCAAAATGATGTTTCTTTCTCCACGTTTCAGTTGCGCAGTGCCCGGTGTTGCGAGCTCCCACCGACGGTACAATGACTGGCTCCTATTCCTACCAGGACGTGGTGGAATTCACCTGTGACCCAGGCTACGCCCTCTCCGGGTCAGCTGCAGCTGCCGTCACATGCCAGGCAGACGGCACATGGACTGCACCTGCTCCCACTTGTACAGGTACGGAGTCTCCTGGGAATAGTCAAATATAATCTATAATTTATTGTACATAACACTTTGGACCATTATATATAACCCTTTGTACCATTATACATATTATTAAAAAAGGTTATGTATAATTATGTATAATGCCAAAATCATTATATATAATTATGTATAATGGATAAAGGGGTTATGTATAATTATGTATAATACCAATTGTATGTATGTATAATAAAATAATCATAGTATAATTATGTATAATTTGACTATTGTCTTGTGTCTTTGATGTTTTTCAGTCAAAAGCCAAAAATCCAGGTTCTGTTGAACGAATAATGAACTGTACATTTGACTAAGTACATGGCACATTTTAAAATTTAGAAGATACATTGTGAAAGCTACAATGTAATATAGCACAGTACTAGACTTAGTACATTCAGGTTTCTCTCTTCTTGGTAATTGTATATAAATGTAGAAGGATTTAAGCGTATCTATAGATGGTTTATCAAAATATGCAATGAATTTATAATGAGGTTATGATTACAGTTAAACTTTTAAACAGTTAAACAGTAAATTGGGACTACCCCCAAAATCGCCAACATTTGGGGTCCCAATTTACTTGGTGTTGGTCACGGAAAGTTTAACTGTTATCGTAATGTTATATACCAACACAGATGAACTTTCATGCTAATTTATAATGAGGTTATAAATTTGAATTTTTATCATATTATACTAATAATGAATAACAACTACTCATGGCTGTAAATTGGCAGTAAATTAATTCTAATGGTAATTTCAAACTTAAAAAAAATCTTTTAGCTGTACAGTGTCCGTATCTGAGGGCCCCAATCAACGGTGCAATGTCGTCGGGCAACAGTCTCTACCGTGACGTGGTCTACTTCACCTGTGAGGTAGGATACGAGCTGATAGGTGCAACCAGGATCACGTGTCAGCCGGACGGCACCTGGAGTGACAAAGTGCCCACCTGTGCAGGTGAGATATTTTACCTTTTATGTACCAATTAACTTGTGGTCAGTTTTACTGGAGATATTACTCTTCCAAGAGCGTTATTGCAAACCGTACCTACCTAGGTCTATGTCTATGGGTTAGGGTTATGATCAAGCATAGTTCTGCATAGTCTTTCGTATCCAAGAGCATCTAAGACCTACATGTAGTTCTATGTCCATGGGTTAGGGTTATGATCAAGCATAGTTCTGCATAGTCTTTCGTATCCAAGAGCATCCAAGACCTCAAGTTCTATGTCTATGGGCTTAGTGAGGGTTATGATCAAACATAGTTCTGCATAGTCTTTTGTATCCAAGACCTTGTTCTATGTCTATGAGTTAGGGTTATGATGAAGCATAGTTCTGCATAGTCTTTCATATCCAAGAGCATCCAAGACCTACATGTAGTTCTATGTCTATGGGTTAGGGATATGATCAAGCATACACTAGTTCTGCATTCTTTTGTATCCAAGAGCATCCAAGATTTGCCCCAGGCACATGTTCTAGAAAATGCATCGGCTATCTATAGAACCAAGGATAAGCAGGGCTTAGCAGTGTACAATGAGGGCCTGCAAGGGGGGGTCCCAACAACGCTCTACGCTGAATTCGGAAACCTCTCGATTACGCTTTACGATAAATTCCAAGTGGCTACGACGCATTACATTGTACGTAGAATTAAAACGGCAAATGCGCTCTACGCAAAATGCGAAGAGCGGTCAGTCTATGCTCTACGCAGAATTAAAACGGCGGATTACGCTCTACGGAAAAGGGCTTGCGGGCCCTCTACAATCTACAGATCTGTGCATGAGCATCGTGCAGGATTAAGGACGGTTCTACAACAAGTGTATTGCCATCTCATTGTTCTTTTTCTATGTTCTAGGCGTGAAGTGTCCAATGCTGAAAACTCCTGCGGACGGTACAATGACAGGAGGGAATTCCTACGAGGACACGGTGCAGTTCTCCTGTAACTCCGGGTGTCAGCGTGTCGGTGCGGCGGCTGTCACGTGCCAGGCCGATGGCAGATGGAGCGACAGTGTTCCTATCTGTACCGGCAGTACCCGTAAGTAGCCTCTTACAGGCTTCGGTAGATAGCCTGGATCCCATACCACAGCTCAACACAATACTCCCTTTGGCTGGCGGAAGCAACAAGACCAATCACAGAGTTAGCACCTGGGGATCTAATTTATATCTTGAGTCTGTCTGAGGGGGTGTTTATGGTAATATTACAGACATGTTTTTTTCGTTATAATTACATGTATTTAATACAATTGGCTAAAATTTCTGTGAACACGTGCTGGAAAGAAAGGCATTTTAAGGTGGACACCACCGTACTTCAGGAGAGATGTGACTGTAGCAGAGGGTCATGCATGCCAGATAACCTGTGACACCCCCAGTCTCAGTAAACCAGCCACTAGACTCAGATTACTAGTAACCGCCATCCTTTTTTTTCATCCTTGAGATGTACCTTGCCCGCTGCTGGTAGCCCCTGTAGACGGCGCGATGACCAGGCGCACCTACTTCCTGTACGACTCGAGAGATTTTCGGGAGTATTTACCGACAGGTGAAACCGGCTGCGAAGCGTACAACGAAGACGCGGACTTCACCTGCCATTCGGGATACGACCTTATCGGCTCGTCTAGCATTACGTGCGAGGCAGATGGTACCTGGAGTGACAGTGTCCCAGAATGTAGAAGTAAGTCTTTATTTTATAGTATCTGTTGCAAAGTTCAAGCTTCATTAGTTGTGCCAACACAAGAATGGAACTCACCATAAATTTTCTGTCAATTTCGTCAACCTTCGTCAGATGAGTGATGCACTCACTGACTCTCCGGAAGTCAAAAGCATAATGACGCCAGGAACACATCAAAAGTGGCGGGAAGACCGTCATGGTTCAGAGAGGGGTCCTTGATGGCTGCTACATAGTACATTTCTTACATCATTGCTACCTTAAGTTTACAATATTAGCCCATCTAGATGTAAGGTTGCTGAGGAATTAGTCCAGAATTAAACTGGAGGCTGTGAAGTGTTATTGTCACTCAACAAATGCACCTTTTGTTCTTTCTTTAGTTGTACAGTGTCCAGAGCTGATGGCTCCAACCAACGGAGCAATGGAGGGCTTATATAGCTACAGGAGCATGGTGACGTTCACCTGTGACACGGGGTATGATCTTATAGGTCCTGGGAGTGTCACGTGCCAGGCAAACGGCACTTGGAGCGACATTGTCCCAACTTGCACAGGTAAAGTTTCAGGTCTTTCATATTATATACTACCTCTGTATCTGTATAGCCGGTATAACGGCCCTTCGTCGTAACACACCAGCTTCCCATGCACACAGTGAACGACTTGTTACACTTACATGTAGCCTTTGGACATTGTTGAAAGCTATCTAATGATAATGCCCCTACTGTACTTGGTGATAGCGAGTTCCAGATCTCTACGATAGTTCTTAGTATAGGGGAAAAATGAGTTCTTGAACACTTCCACACTGACACCTTATTCCTTACATGTACTTGATAATTCTGGTACTTGAAGGCATGACTATTGTTCTTTTCTGAGCTGACATTTGGTAAATAGTAAGTAATCATTTAATGGTCAATTGTCTTGCTTTTAGTTCAGAGATCCTGTAATCACAAGTGTCCTTCATACAAAACTTTCTGTCGATATTTCAGTGGTGCAGTGTCCACCGTTGGCAGCACCCGCACACGGCACGATGGTTGGTAACAACTCCTACCAGGACGTGGTAGAGTTTGTCTGCAATACTGGCTACAACCATGTGGGGGTGCAAAGTGTTGTGTGCCAGGCTGACGCAAGCTGGAGCGACATTCCACCTGTTTGTACTGGTAAGACTTTTTACCTTTGCCAGAAAGTTGTGGTTTTGGTAGCATTTGTGTGTATGTGTGTGTGTGCGCGTGTGTGTGTATGCGACTGTGTGTGTGTGTGTGTGTGTGTGTATGCATGACCAAGGACAGGCATGTTTACATGAATGTATATGTATCTGGATAGCATTCAGCACCAAGGACAGGCATACTAGCATAAGGGTGTGCAAGCATGCTTTTTTTTTTATTAGCATGATAACTCAAGAACATATGGGTGGATTGTCATGAAACTTTGTACTAGGTGGATACATGTAGTTCTTAATAAGGCCTAGAAATTATTAGATTTTGGGCCCCCTAACAGCTTATTTGTATATTTAATTATACAGAAAGTCGACAATTCCAGTTTCCATTACTGTCTATCTATCCAGTGCACATTTTTGATACATTTTCTCTATACTATCATGAAAGTTCATCTGTGTTGGTAGTTACATGTTTAAAGTTAAAACTTTTGATACGTGACAAGCTTCACTGGATCAGTCTACTAAGGAAGACCAGAGTGACTGGTCGAAAGCTCTAGGTGAGAGAATGTTTGGTGTTGGATCAAAAGTTTTAACTTTAAACATTTTCTCTGTGTTTCAGTGGTGCACTGCCCGAGACTGGAAGCTCCCACAGACGGTACCATTGAGGGGGAGAATTACTTCCAGGACGTGGTACAGTTCACCTGTTACCCTGGGTACGATCTTGTAGGTGCCACTACCACCACCTGCCAGGCTGACGGCACATGGACTGAGAGTGTGCCTACTTGTGCAAGTAAGAAAAATGTGATAGATGGTGATAGTGATAGTGATCTCGAACCAGTGGTTCTCAAATCAGTGTTCTCCCACAGAGAAGACAGATGCTATATATATTAATATATATATGTACAGTTAAGTATTTACAGGTTCATTGTACCGGGAAATTCTAGCTCTTCACAAGCACAATGAACAGTAGACCATGGTTTAATGTTCCGCCCTAAGAACTGTGACCCTCTCCTATAGCCTGCATGTCGGTTGAGCGACAACAGCTGGGATTCGAACTTTTAACCTCTTAGTCCAGAGGCAGGGTCGCTAACCACTGGACTACGCATGCTACTACTAGTACATATTTGTACATGTGTCTTTCAGAGTTCCTTTTTCCTCTTCATGCTATTCTCTAGGAAAGATGCTTACGAATATTCCTTTCTTCATGATTGTTTTAGTCGTGCAGTGCCCGGAGCCAACAACCCCCGAGCACAGTTCAAAGACCGGTGGGTACAACTACCGGGATGTGGTACACTACACCTGTGACACAGGCCACTACATGGTCGGTGCCGAGGACATCACGTGTCTGGCCGACAGCACGTGGAGTGACGATGCTCCTAACTGCACAGGTAAAAATTTGTGACTGTCTTTTATGCGCACACAGAGGTCAATATTGTCATCTAATTGGCATTCATCACTGTCACCTTTCACCTGATTAAGGGACCATCCAGGTACTAGGGAAGAATACTGTACAATGTATTGTTTGGGGTGGCCGAGCTGTAGGTTTATGTATCTGTTTGTTCAAACTAAGTTAGTAGACAGCAAGTGGGTGGGAGAAGATTGATAGGCAGAATGTTAGGAAGTCAATCTAAGGTCGATCTAGGAGCTAACAGGCATGGAGGAATTCAGGTAGTCTAGAATTGCACACTGAGATTTTTACTTTCTTGTTCAAAAGGGATCCTACTAATTGACTATTTCTCTCTCCAGTTGTACAGTGTCCGGAGCTGACAGCCCCCTTACACTGTGACATGACGGGGTTGGACACCTACCAGGAAGTGAAACACTTCGTCTGTGACACCGGCTACAATCTGGTAGGGTCTGCAGACATGACATGCCAGGCAGATGGCACATGGAGCGGCATTTTCCCAACTTGTACAAGTAAGTATCTTCATCTTTCATCAAAGAAGAAATTATTGAAAAGAAAGAAAGTGGCGTCTGTGTGGTGTAGTGGATAGAGCGTCTGACTGTCAAGCAAGGAAACCCAGGTTCAATGCCCAGGGCTGGACCCAGACATGTCCAGACATGCACCAAGATGTTGTGCCCTTGGGAAAGGCACTTAACACGCATTTCCCTTCTCAGTTAGAGGGTTCCTGGGCCCTACTAAAGGGTTTGGGTTGGTGTTAGGAAGAGCATCCAGCCGTAAAAATCTTGCTTAAAAAAAAAAGACTTGACAGTTGTACATGTACTTGGTGCAAGCACGTCTAACCCCCGGTTGGGGAAAAATGACGTTAAATTTGGTTAGAAAAAGAAAAGAAAAAAAAGCTGACCAAGACTGGAATAGCTGGTTGGATGATGATCATGTGTGACTCAAATAATTGGTCTTCTTGGTGACTTGAATTGGACTAATGCTAATAAGACTGGACAAAGATGGACTAAGATTAATATATCATGAGCCCTTTCTAAAGAGTTGGTAAAGAACTGCATCACTTAATTCAGCCAGGCTTTTTTTCATGATGTCTGCTTGGTTTTTATTCATACAGTAAATGACACACTGTATATTCTGAAGTAGCATTAGAAGTAGCATTTATGGTCATTTTTACTGTTTACTATTATAATTGTACTATGCCTTCCAATAAGCCCTTGGGTACGAATTTCCAATGAACCATATAATTGCAGAGGTCATCCATTCAAAAGCATATACGTTTTTAAAACTGTCCTATTTTGTGTTCTAGTTGCACAGTGTCCTGAGCTGATGGCTCCCATAGAAGGGACAATGGCAGGTTGTAACTCCTACCAGGACGAGGCGCAGTTTGCCTGTAACCAAGGTTACAACCTAGACGGGTCGGCCACCCTCACGTGTCAGGCAGATGAGACATGGAGCGACAGTGCCCCAGTTTGTACAGGTGAGCGTTCTGTGCAACAAAATTAGTTTTGAAGGGGAACAAGAAGTTAAAAAAAAACCTGACATATCACACATGGTATGTCTGAATAGTGATTTCCTATACTAACATGTAGCTTGCTAGTTCACCGGCCGTTTTAAGTTGCGGCTAGCACCTAGCATCAACAAATTGGCTGCCAACATCTTTATGTGGCAACGAATGGCTGACTGGTCACGGATTCGATTCATGCATGGCTAGACTAGGTGGACTGTTCTTGCTAAAGGCACTTAACAAGATTTTCCTCACTCTACGCAGTTGTCAAATGGGTACCTGACTTTGGTTGGTGAGGTAAAAGGCAGTGTAAGGAGAGGGGTGGGCTCCACCTTCCAATACTATGCCCAGACATAATACTTTAAGAACATTATTAACTGCCCCTACAGCTTTAATTATCTCCAACAAGTCCAAGCAGATTCTGTGGGGCAAGGAAAATCCTAATATATTGTCCACCTGTATCCATTGGCTATATGACTTTTGTACCTTTAGTAGAATTGATTCAAATGCATATTATTTTTCCAATTAACGCTATCATATATCATTTTCAGCTGTTCCATGCCCAGCCTTCACTCCCCCCGACCATGGTTCCATGACTGGTGACTTCGCCTACAAGGAGGTGGTAGAGTTTGTCTGTGACACTGGGTACGAGCTCATTGGTGCATCCAGTATCATCTGTAGGCACGACGGTACCTGGAGCGGCACTGTTCCAACCTGCACATGTAAGAATTGTCCAGATCGAGCCGAATAGATTCGCTTTGATCCGGTTTTGATCCTGCTCAATCTGGACAATTTCATCCAAGTGGGGAAAAGGGCCATAGTTTCTTTCTCCCACAGAATCATTGTATGCAACATAACATTCCTATAATGTGTTGCGTAGTCACTGACGAAAAGAAGTGGGTGCTACCTGAAATGTCTGGTGGCAGTTTTCAAAATTTACCCAGTTGCACGACGAGTAACAATTTCTCATTACCTGGATGCTTAACCTTTGTCAACGTAACACTTCTAATGTTCGTTCAGAGATTAATTTAAAAAGATAACCAGCCAAAATTAAAAGCTTTCAATTCTCCCATTTAATATAGAATGATTAATCAGGTTGGTAAATTACTAGCTGTGTTTATACACAAAATTCATAACAATTACCTCCCGGCCCTTAGGTAGTAATGGTCCTACATTCTTCAGTGCAATACTGACTGGTTCTACCCGGTAGGTGTTGCTGCTAGATAGAAAATGCAGTCTCAAACATGACTCAGCTTGTATCTCCCCTCATCACGGTTCATATCACAAGACTTGAAAGCTTTTTCTCTCTGTATTTTCAGTGGTGCATTGCCAGGTACTGACAGCGCCTTCAGATGGCACAATGTCGGGAGACAACGCCTACCAAGACATGCTCCAGTTCGCCTGTATCTCTGGGTACCAGCTTGTAGGTTCACCAACCAGCACATGTCAGGCAGATGGCATGTGGAGTGACAGTTCCCCGATTTGTGCAGGTCAGTTTATTATATTTACTGAAGGAAAACATATTGTTTTTGCTCTGTTTCTTCCTCTTCTTCTTCCCCAAACAGTGACCTCTGACCTGATCAATGACATGATTTGTTGACGTCTGTCACCTTGGTAACTGGTGTTGGGTTACATAATGTTGCAATTTCACCTGTCTCCTCTGCTCCTGTCACCATATACTAGTAGTACAGACCATGTCCGAAGGTAGACATTATGCATTTGCTTCTCTATTTTTTTTCTTGTATTTCTTTCTTAACAAATAGGCAAAAAAAAAGTTAAATTTTAACATATTTGAAAGATCCCTATAACTAACATCTGGGACAGAAGTAGTGTTTTGGGTACATGGTGCCAATTCATGCTAGGTTTGTATGTTTGGGTTCCAACATGAGTGGGCAGAGATTTTGTTTCACTTGATTGACAGGGTTTTAAGCCGGTTTGCCCTGGATGCAAGGATGTGTTTGCCATGAATGTATGAAAAATAAACCAATGTTATGGTTAATATAGGAGTAAGTTTTGTCATACAATCTTATGAGTAATAATATATATTCTATGATACAATTCATTAATGCAAACTGTACATTATGTCCCGAAAGTTTGAAATCTCTAATTTCTGTTCTCCCTGTTTCAGCTGTCGAGTGCCCGGCCCTGACAGCCCCGGCACACGGTACAATGACTGGGAACAACTTCTACCCATCTGAAGTTCGGTTCGCCTGTGACTCCGGATACGCCCTAGCTGGGAGCTCCACCCTGACATGCCAGGCTGACGCCACATGGAGTGGGGCCGTACCTACCTGCACTGGTAGGATAAGAGTTTTATGACTCATCTATAATGTTTTGTACGTAGGTTAATTTCGTTGTACCCAATGTTCAATTACATCTCATCAACACGATTTCTTTCTAGGTATGTTTCTACCATGCAAAAAAGTTGAATCTTTGTTTAACAACTTAACAACAGGATCTGTCCTTGGTGCTGAATTATGGGTTACATGTAATACAGTGATTGGAAAGCTATCTTATTATGTATTTGTCTGTATGTCTACATGTAGTTTTAGACCTTACGAAAGTCGCTGTACTTTTGTTGTGTCAATAAAGTTCTCTTATGACTGAAACACACAATTGAAATGTGGTAGTTAAACATTCTAACAGTGTTACATTCAAGAAACATACATTTGTAAAAGTATGGAGAAATATACTGCTTCAAAAAATATGTAGGCATTTAAGTAGCCTCTATCAGGCCCTGAAGCAACTGCAAAGAGTAGAACAAAGTGGCAAACTGTTTCCTTAGCGCAGATCAACTCTTCTGGCATGCATACACAATGTATGTTATCAGTGTCTATTTGGCCGATTTCAACACTTTCCAGCCACTTTGTGAAGCCTGGTAGAGGCTAGCATTTGGGGCTGGATAGATTCTTTCAGAATCCATTACACTCTTTTCAAAGGACAAAAAAGTGAACTGAAGAAAACAAAATGCTTTAGTCACTTAGTTTGTCCTTCTGATTTGTGTTCCAGTTGTACAGTGTCCAGAGCTGACAGATCCAGAGCACGGTGCAGTAAGCGGCTACAACTACTATGAGGACGAGGCAGAGTTCACCTGTGATGAGGGGTATGAGATCTTCGGCACCACCACCATCACGTGTCTGGAGGACGGCCAGTGGAGCATGAGCGCTCCAACCTGTACAGGTTAGACGGTTTTGCGGTTTTTAGCTGTGTCCAGAAACCCCGGATTGGTTGATTCCACGGCCATGGAGTTCATCATCTTTCATTAGTGAATTACATGACTTTGAATGAACTTCTGCTTAAAGTTCGTAGGTGTTCATTTCACAATCAGTGGACTCTGGTACAGTGGGGTAGCTACCTTTGATTAAAAAAATTATCTATCGGCTATGCCGTGATCCGTAACCCTAACCACTAAACATCATAGTATGGCCATGGAATTCATAGACCCAGGTCTCCTTCATTGGCACACGATCTCGAAGTAAAGTAAAATGATTGTTTGGTAGAAGACAAGTACAGGCAGAAAATATGTAACACTCATTGAGTACTAGTGTTTATATTATATATATATCAAAAGTTATATATATAATTTTAATGATATCCAAGCAGATTCTGTGTGGCAAGGGTAGTCTATATTGGCTGCTTGTATCCTTGGCCTTCTGTAACCATTGGAGGCCACTTTAGACCCCCCCCTTGCCCCATAAAATCTGCTTGGAGACTATTAGTAAGTGTTTAGGACTGAAAAGATCTGAAAACAATGGCCGGGAACTGGTATTACATACAGCTGTCACTTGAACTAGTCTCATGTATTAACCGTATCCTCCCCCTTCTGCAGCCGGCCAGTGTCCCAACCTGCTGCCGCCGATGAATGGTGGGATGACCGGGAGTAACTTACACGGGGTAGCAGTGACGTTCTCCTGCAATTCCGGCTACGAGCTCCAGGGGTCACCCGCTGTCACCTGTCAGCTAGACAGCACCTGGACCGGGAGGCCTCCTATCTGTAAAGGTGACGTTTACTGTGTTTGATGTTCTTGAATGTTGTGATCAGTGTCAGTCCTGTCTTTGGTCTCCCTAACACAAGCAATACCAACCCATTAAACAAATTTGCAATCAAACTACATGGCATGATATGTCTACTTCAAAGGTCTACACCTTGACTTAAACCCTTCTAGGTTAATTGTAATTACAGCTTCAGTAGACCATATACAGAAGACAGGTTTTGGAGGTGGAGTACAATTCTTGAGTTTTACTGTGTGGCTTTTTACATACTGTAATGCTTGATACGCAAATCTTGAGATATAAAGCGTAATAAGTATTCTTTTCTGGCTGCCTGATCTTTCTGAGCATTGTGTTCTCACCAAAAAAAGTGCCAGTTGTATACATAGGCTACATATATAGCAGGGAGAAGCAGTACTCCAGTCAGAAGCTCTGAGGAAGATTTACATACTAGGCAAGGTATCACTGGTTGTGTATAAGAAAATCCCAATGCCCATGTTCTACCAACCTGATGACATTGTTTTCACAATTTTGTAGTTCTCCAATGCCCGGCTCTGACCGCCCCTGCCAACGGTGCCATGGTCGGGCTGAACTACTACCGGAACGTGGTGACTTTCAGCTGCAGCCGCGGGTACGACCTTGTCGGGGAGTCCAGCGTGACCTGCCGGGGGGACGGGACCTGGACGGGAAGTGTTCCTGCGTGTACAGGTAAATTCTGTTGTGTCACATTCAGATTATGATTCTGGTACTGAATGATTATTACTGAAGCCCACCACTATGTATAATAGTGTAGACCTGTCCTCGGTACTGAATGAGTACTACTAAAGCCCACTGCTGACCAGGTCTACACTTTCATACATAGTGGTGGGCTTGAGTAATAATCATTCATTACCAAGGACAGGTCTACACTTTCATACACAGCAGTGGGCTTACGTAGTAATCATTCAGTACCAAGGACAGGTCTACACTATCATACATAGTGGTATTGGCTTTTGTAGTAATCATTCAGTACCAAGGACAGGTCTACACTTTCATACATAGTAGTGGGCTTTGATAATAATCATTCAGTACCAAGGACAGGTCTACACTATCATACATAGTGGCATTGGCTTTTGTAGTAATCATTCAGTACCAAGGACAGGTCTACACTTTCATATATAGTGGTGGGCTTTCGTAGTAATCGTTCAGTACCAAGGACAGGTCTACACTTTCATACATAGTGGCATTGGCTTTTGTAGTAATCATTCAGTACCTATGATAGTGTAGACCTGTCCTTTGTGAATAATCCTGAATAATTACTACGAAAGCCCACCACTATGTATGATAGTGTAGCCCTGTCCTTGGTTCTGAATGATAACTCTGAACACATGACCTTATGGACACTTGACTTGCGTGTAATGAATTGTAGTTACATTAGGGCCCACCAGCCGAGACTGGGGCCGATATCACCTAGAAGGCAACTACGATTCATGACATGATTCACATTTAGTTAAAAAAAAATGATTAAGTCCTCGCCACAACCATTGGCATAGTTGCTTATGGCAGCCCTTTCGGTAGCCTTTGGGCCACACTGTTGTGCAATCAGGGGGCTAGTCCACTAGTAGTGATGTGTGTTCAACTCTTATACTCTATCCCAAATGCTGAGTGCTTAGCAGAGAAAGCAGTACGTCTTTGGTATGACTCGGCCAGGGATCGAACTCACGACCTACCAAATGCAAAGCGAGCACTTTACCCATTTGGCCTTTGCGCCGGTAAAGTGATGATCTCCAAAGCCATTTGTAAAATCCACACTTTACTATTTCAGCCATACAGTGCCCCATGCTGAGTTCAGGGTCCAGGGTACTGATCTGTAAGGTATATAAGTGAGAACTTCATGTTACTTGTTTCATTTAGCCTCTGTTCACTTGAAGAAGCCACACAGGCAAAACTGGTCATATGACAGGCTGAATAAAAGTTCTGAACAGGAACTATGCGGCTTCAGATGTCTTACTGAGGGACGACTGCATTGCAAGATGTCAGTTAGCTGAGGAATGAATCCCCTCAAATTCACATTGATGATCTCCAATGCCATTTCTAAACCCCACTCTGCACCATTTCAGCCATACAGTGCCCCAGACTGAGTTCAGGCTCCATAGCTCACGGCCTCCTCATCGGGTCCAACTCCTACCGGAACGTCGTCACCTTCACCTGTTTCCCTGGGTACGAGCTCGTGGGGGACGAGAGTCTCACCTGCCAGTGGGACAGGACCTGGAGCGGCCCCCTACCGGCTTGTTCTAGTAATTCAACCACTTTTCTATTCACACAGATCTAGATTAATGGTTATGTTATCAACACTTTTTTTGGTTTGAAAATGGTATTAGAATCAGGCTTAGGGTGGAAAAATGATGAATACATACTATAGTATGATCTATTTATTGGGAAACCCATATCATGTGCTAGACTATTACAAGGATGAATATGCTAGTAAATTGTTTTGCTTGTCATAATTCTTTGTGTTAGATAATTGTATCTTATGAGGCAGAAATCATGAACTGACGTAGTTTGGACCTTTTATTTCAAAGGATTGTCAACTTTATTTTGAAAATTTAATGTAGTATTTGTGACTTGACTTCGCTTTTTAAAAGACCACTTTAAAGGACAGCCTCTAAAGGGAAAACTTGTAGGTTGATCGTTATGTTTGTTATAACATTATGCACTGTCTGTTTACACTTATTTCAGTCGTGAAATGTCCCCCACAAACGTCTCCCACCAACGGAGCGAAGGTCGGCAACAACTTCTACAACGACGTGGTGAACTTCATGTGTGTGTCTGGGTACCACATGGACGGGGAGTCCAGCGTCACGTGCAAGGCGGACGCCACATGGTCCGCACCCACTCCAACATGCCTGGGTGAGAGATGGTGTCCCTGTCTGTTTGTTTGTTTGTTTGTTTTATCCAGATCTACATTAATTTGGTAATATTCAATTATCATGGCTTAAAATACAGCTGGGTGCATGTGCACCTTATTGCACCCAAATTCGGAACTGTGCACCCATTTTTTTCTGTGGGTGCACCAGTGCACCCAATTTTTGTAGGTTGTCAAGATGTGAAATGTAGTATACAGCATATTCTTAACGTCTAATTGTAAGAAACATAGTTAGTTTTTGTCAGAAACATACTATTAGTTAGTTTTTGCTGACATTCTACTTATTTTATTTTACATGGTGCACCCAAAACATTTTTTGTGCACCCAATTTCTTAGGTTCAGTGCACCAGTGCACCTATTCCCAAAAACGAATTTTGAGCCCTGAAATTTATGTGTGTTCGTAAAGTTGAGTGACAACACGTGGGTATTTGTGGAATTCCCTAACCACAGACCACAAAAGGTCAGACACAGGAAGTTAGGTCCCAACAGCTGGCCAAGAGCCAGCAGGCATTTCCTTCAGTCTGTTGGCTGGTTGCTTTAGGGGAAATGCAGAGACATAAACAGAGAAATTCATACAGAATATATAATTAAAACATGGAAAGTAACGAACATTGCATTGTTTTGTTTTTTTCTACACAGATACTGACGAGTGTGCCTTCTCGAGCATGGGTGGTTGTGAACAGATCTGCACCAACACTGATGGTAGTTACTACTGCTCCTGTAACATCGGGTACAGCCTCAGTATCAACAGTATGTCTTGTAACGGTATGTTTAGTATCTTTAACTCTTAGACTTGAAGAATGTACTTAACATTTCATTCAGATTTTTGAAAGTACAAACATGTACATATGTTGTGTTTATTTGTACATTAGTGCATACTGTGTCTGTATCAAAAAATCCAAGTTTTTCTTAACTAGCAATTTGAAACATTCAATGAACCATCCTTACAGTAACAAGGAAGGAAAGTAGTAGCTCGTAAAATGACATATAGGACATTATCATAATAATGAAAACAGCCAGTTAGTTATCAAGTTGAACATAGATGAGTTGTGTATGATTAGAAACATTATTATTTGTAATGTACGTATTATTAAGTAATCGTAAACTTTGTCTTGAACAGACAACGACGAATGTAATACAGCAAATGGTGGCTGCAACCAAATCTGCACCAACACTATAGGCAGTTTCCAGTGTTCCTGCAACACTGGATACCTCTTAAATGCTGACCACTTCGGATGTGACGGTAAGATATCCCTGACAACAATCGCTTATCTGAATCAACACTTAAGTTTGTTCTATGTAAATTCATAGTCTAAATTGTTGAGACTGCTTATTACATGTATGCATAACGTACTGGTATATCGCTAAATTGAACATACCGTATCGTTTCCCCATTTCATACATCTTAGCAACACAGATAAGTTCATATTTCAAATGGCTTTGATTATAAAACACATCTGTACTTATATCTACATCATTACTAAGAAGCGAGAAGAAGCCAAATTATCGTAATTATTAGACTATATGTCCATAGTACAATAGAATTAGCACTAGCTTGTACATTGTATATGTTCACTGCAAACTTTGACGTCTTCCCTGTGACCTGTACTGAACCCAGTGGGTATTTGCGTACAATAAAGGTCTTCATTCATTCGTATCGAGATACAAACTTTGTATTGTGCTCTGTGACATTAAAAGTAGATGACTTTACTTCTAATTCTATTCATTTGCACGTACAAATAATTAAAGTAATTTACCATGTTCCCTCTAGTGTAAAGAACATTTGACCCTATAGAATATTATGTCACCTTGCAGATATCGATGAGTGTGCTATAAGAAACGGAGGTTGTATGCACACATGCACAAACTTGGCTGGGAGTTACCAGTGCTCGTGCAATACTGGGTATGCGCTGGGCGAGGATGGACATGCATGTTACGGTAAGGACTTAGTTCCTTGTGCTTCTTTCTTTATGCTGTCTCAGATCACATTTCCAAACCGGGGCCCGGCCGGGCTGTTTCAATTGACGAAAAGAATGAACAATTTATACCTGTCCAATAATATAGTATTACGCAAATAGTTCCCATCATTAATAAACATGTTTGTGCTCTCTTGTCTTTTATATCATACTTTTTGTTCCATAAGACTGCCCGACCAGGCCCTGGCTAGGAAATGTGACCTCAGCATTATGTCATAATAATAGTATTACATGTAGTTTTGTTTTCTTATGGTGTTTTGAGAGATATATATTAGAAACTTTATTCGCAAAATCATGCCCGAAGGCTAATTGCTTTTACAATCAAGAATAAAACACATTGCAATACAGTAACAGGAGACAAGTAACAACTGTCTGGAAAAAACTTCTAAATATACAATGATGTTTTGATGTTTTCTTACAGACATCGATGAATGCTTGACTGACAATGGAGGGTGTGACCAAACCTGCCTTAACACAATTGGCAGTTTTTACTGTCAATGTGGTGTTGGTTATCTGTTAAACACAACTGATGGACTTGCCTGTGATGGTAAGAATTTTACACCCGTTTTTTTCCTGTTTCCTGGACAGAATTAGATAAATCATAGCCTGGTGTCCAAACCTATTTTAGCTGCCAAATTTTCCTGGAGAGCTGCTAAAATAGGTTTCAGTGGACACCAGGTTAGATCATTGTGTGTGTGTGTGTGTGTGTGTGTGTGTGTGTGTGTGTGTGTGTGTGTGTGTGTGTGTGTGTGTGTGTGTGTGTGTGTGTGTGTGTGTGTGTGTGTGTGTGTGTGTGTGTGATCTCGTAACAATACTCATGCACAACAAAAACTCTGAGAGTTCGTATATACCTGTTTTAAGAAGAGGGAAGAAACACGTAAACTATTCAATGTTAGCCTTAAGCTTATATGCTCATCCATCTGTATGCAATAAATGTAGTATACATGTAGCACCTCTGTAGAATTTTAGTGTCTATACAACTCATGTGAAATATATATGTGTACTGCGCTTAGCCCTCATGGGCATGAATGTGCAAATAAACATCATCATCATTGTCATATTTTTCTTCTCTCTTTCGAGAAAAGATGTTAGTGATAAACTACTGTTCCAGTAACTCTCCCCTCTAATCTTACTATGATCTTTCTTTCATTATTTCCACAGATGTAGACGAGTGTTTGACAGCAAATGGCGACTGTGACCAGACTTGTGCCAACACCATCGGGAGTTACAACTGTTCCTGTGTCAACGGCTACCTCCTGAACTCTGACCTCCACACCTGTGGTGGTAAGCAATCAATCAATCAATCACCATTTGTCATTAATGGTTCGTTATTGGTTAGATGGGTAATAGATTACACAAAGGAATTTAACGCAGATTGCGGTTGGGAACAGACTAAAGACCCTGTTCACATGAAAACGCTGTAACCACATTCGATCCAAATTCCATCAAAGCTGGATTCGAGTGGCCCCATCTGAATGCTGCAAATCTCATTGAAAGTGACTTGATCCCAAACCACCTTGGGAGGTAGTTTCAAACAGGTTTCAAACGATTTGCGTCTGAACACAGTTGCAGTGATTTCTTGTGTACAGGCTTTACAGGATATGAAAAGTTCTACAACTAGTTTCCCAAATGCCCTAAGCTTATGTTATGCCAATCAAGAGCACAGGTGATACCCTGAATAATGAGATTACAAACTAGATGTGTCACTCATTCATGGTTGTTTTCCAGATGTGGATGAATGTGCGACCGACAACGGTGGCTGCAACCAAACCTGCGTCAACAATATGGGAAGTTTCAGCTGTAATTGTGGCATTGGTTATCTCCTGAACACTGATGGTGCTGGCTGTGACGGTAAAGTTATTGTCATTTGTTTGTTTGTTTATTTGTTTGTTTATTCATTAGTACATGGTCAATGACAGACTTATGATATATTTACCATACCAGTGTTTTCCTGATATACATAAAGAACATTCTGAATAATTCAATCAGCTTCACTTGGTAGATGACTATAACTAACAACGTTAGGCCCAAGGGCTACGGAAATGGAGATGGGCACCACCCTATGCTCGACATAAGAGCATGGGCGACCTTCTTCTTCTTTATTGCCCTGAGAAAAGTGACAGACCGTCATCAAAATGTTGGCTTGTAATAAAACTCCTTTGATTGCAAATTGTATCTGTGCACGTTTCAACAGATGTTAATGAGTGTGACACTGCAAACGGCGGCTGTGACCACGTCTGCACCAACTCTATCGGGAGTTTCTCCTGTTCCTGTGGACACGGGTACATCCTGAACATGGACGGTTTTGTTTGTGACGGTACGGCCTGTCCATTTTATTTAAGTTTTACTTTTGAATTATTTGTCACAATTTGCTCTTTATAAGCACTCTTAAAGCATGCTGAAATTTCCGTATTGGCACACTCTAAAAGTTACTTAAAAGTGATATTTACACCTACATAAATGTTTCTTTTAAGCTTCCTTTGCGTTAGTCCATAAAGATATGTAGTGAAACTCAACTTTTTAGCATTTCTCTTAACATACAATCATTATTATAGTTTCTGCACCTATGGAGAATTTTCAGTGTGATGCCTAATGTATATTAGACTAAGTGCTATCATTGATACATCATTCAATTTGGTGTCTGTAAAAAAAAACATGCAGATGCACAAGAGACATATAAACTTTTGTGTCTTTTTTAATCTTCCACAGACGTTGATGAGTGTGCAACTGCCAACGGAGGCTGTGAACAAATCTGCACCAACTTCCCCAGCAGTTTCAACTGTTCCTGTCAGGTCGGGTATGTTTTGGACGCTGACAACGCTGCCTGCAATGGTGAGTGACAACTAATAAAGTGTGTCAAAGTATTACCTGTAATCAAGACAGCATAAAACAATGGATCATCATAATCAACCCACTGCTACCAAGGACTCCAAATTCTCCAGACAATGTACTATAATAATAATTCATTATTATATCATTTTTTCATTATGATAGCATCTTATTGATTATTTTGTGTTTTATGTCTGGTTTGACCTCTACCGATGCATCCGATTCTGCTGTGTTTTTTTAAAAATGATTTTGCTGTATTTCAGATGTGAACGAGTGTTGGAGCAGGAATGGTGGCTGTTTGCACAACTGCCACAACACCGTGGGGAGTTTCTCCTGTTCCTGTCTGACGGGGTATCTAGATAATGCTGACGGCTTTACATGTGACGGTGGGTACAGTCTGGTTATGTGACTGGACAGAAACACAAGCCTCATGTTTTCACTTAAAAAATGTACCGTACGTTACATATCCACAATTTTGAGCAGTGGCGTCACTGGATCTGTAACGTATGCATACATGATCATCCACACATCTACCAAAATACTGGTAATTAATATTGTTAAACACATATTTTTCTACACTATGATATAAAAAAAAAGTTTTTTTATATGGTATCAGTGTGGTATCAGAATGCTTTTGGCTATTGGCTTGGACTCTCTGGTCTTTACTTTAGAATTAGAGCCCATGTGAGGCTTTTTGTAATGTTTTTGTTCGTGCGTTTGTAAAATCGTATTCCAATGTTAATTTGTATTTGCCAGACAAGTAACTGAAAAAAATCAGTGTTATTCAGTCTGTTTTTGTACTATTATTAACTGTTATTATTTAGCATCATGCCATCATAAAACATTCTGTTCAAACCTTCTTGAAAGGTGACGATGCCCCAAATGATAGTTGACAGGATTGATACGTCCCACATTGTCAAGTAACATTGTATGACTTTGTTTATGCAGATATCAATGAGTGCTCTTCACAAAATGGTGGCTGTGAGGACTTCTGTACCAACACTGCTGGCACATACAGCTGTTCCTGTTCGGATGGATATGCTCTGACTGAGAATGCACACAACTGCACAGGTAAGTTCATGTGATGAGAAAAAGTGGAAAAACCAACTTGAAGTTGACCACACTTATCAAAAAGAGTGGCCTCTTCAGCAGCTATGATTGCACAGTTATAAAAAATGCACTGGTAACTTAGTATATCCAGAACCTTGTTTTATCCAGGACCATGCTCATCAGGCACGGTTCTGGATATACCATGCAAATCCAGAACCGTGTCTGCGGCAAATCTAAGTTATTGGATACGCGGAGACTATCCAGAACCGTGACTAAACCTAGGCCAGAAACATGGCCTAAACCCATTTCTGGCACAGATACTAGAACCAGACAGGCGTGTTTCTGGATAGTGCCATGCTTCATCCTCAGTCTCAGTTCAGCCGCCTTACATGATTATTATAACCTTACCAATGTCGCTGTAATTACATATGTCATGTGTATACTGTATTTGTGCATTTTCCCAATTTTGGTCTTGAAAATGATAGCAGCAATTTTTTTTTCTTATATTTTCTAGACGTGGATGAGTGTACAGAGTCCCCTCACATCTGTGGTGACCATGCCGTGTGCACCAACTCTATCGGAGTCTTCGAGTGCACATGTGACCAGGGTTACGCTATGAACGAAGAGGGATGCCAAGGTAAGAACATAGCATGAACATGTGCAGATCTTTTTGTAAAAGGCAGGCTGTGAAGTACTTATTTGTGAAAATTTTGCCATGTGGCTCTATTTTTAGATTTCTTCGCAATTCTTCGGCGTCAGTGCGTCATCTTTTAGTAGTTTGTCTTCACAAATGCTATCAAATATGAGCAGTAACTGTAAGTTTTTATGTTATTTGCAGACATAGACGAGTGTGCTGCAGAAGAGTCCCCTTGTGATCCGAATGCGTACTGCCAGAACACCATAGGCTTCTTCGTCTGCATCTGTGGTGATGGTTACATGGGGAACGGGACTTCTTGTGAAGGTGAGTACTCGATTGTTGCTTATGGTGCATTATCAATGTCTACCTTCAGTCTTAACAAAAACCTGGTGGACTGCTGTCTCTGATGACCAGTCGCTGCATGGAATTCTGTCCTTATAAGCACACCTTAAAACATAAAATATTTCTTTTTGACTTCCACTTTAATTTTTTTCTTTTGACCAAATTGAATGAATTTTCTTCGATATAGATAAAAAATGTACGAATGTTAGCAAGGCATTACTTTTAGTAAGATGTTCCAGTCATCTGTCCTCTGAGAACATAAGGCAGCCTTATGCTCAGTGAAAGAAACCCAAAAATAAATGATAATGAACACTCATTTGTGCTCTCCACAATTCACAGAAAGAGAAACTACGACAGCAGCCACAGTGACCACAATATCACCAACAACCGAGACAACAGAAGCTGAAACAACCCGTCCCATCATTCTACCCGCTAGTACCACTGCTGAATCAACCTTCCAGCCCGTGGAAGAGATCACAACAGCCGAGGACATCTTCCATGAGCTTGGCACCCACGCAGCGACAACTAAGGGCTTTACACTTGGCGGTATAGTCTAAAAAAAAATACACATTATTGTGGCCTGATTTCTAGAAGATGTACTTGACTTACTTGACTTAATGAAGATGTAACACTATTTTTTTGTGTCCTTAGAATATGGTAAACATAGTTTGTAATTTGTGTAAGATGCAAAATGTGTTCACGCAAGAGTACAGTCAAAGTGAGACATGAACATGTGAGAAGTATACAGTACATGTACTATAAAGCATGTCAAATTCAACAACGACTTACATGTTTGCATTGCTTCCCCAACATTAGTAAAATGTAAGATTTCTCACACTGGTGCGAAATTTGTAAATTTCAGCACAAGTCACAACCACCAAAACGACCACTACTACATCAAGCACTGAGGCATCCACTACTCCACAAGTAACAGTAAGTGTACATGACTGACATTATTTACTTTTTAATTGGATACCTTTCATGTTTATTGAGACTTAAGTGCAATTTATAAAAGCTGAATGAAATACACAACATCAGCAATTGACAGTGGTCTACATGTATTTGTCCTGGTGACATACATATTATACATTGTACATATACATGTACATAGAAGAACTTTATTGCACGACAATTGCACCTGGTACAATGTATGGCAAATTACATATTAAGAGAGTAGCAAACAATAAAATGTGTTGAACAAGACCTAATGTCAAATAAACCTAACAAATCTACATCATAATTATTACATAGATTGCTGTACTTTTGTTGTGTCCATAATGATTTCTCATGAGCCACTATCTGTCCACAGGAAGCGGTCACTGCACCAGTCGTGGACAGACTGAAAGACTTCTGGCCAGGTCTGAAGGGTCTGGTTCACGCCCAGGTGACATCAGATGTAGTGATGCAGTATCTGAGTAACAACAGGGAACAGGGGAACTGTGGCGAGTCACTGCCTACTGAATGTGAGGTATGTTAGATCAGAAATTGTGACAGTCACTTAGAAAACCTGTTAGCAGGTCATCTAATAATAATTAAGTATGTAATATAGTCTACTACAAGAACATGCCTTACTACAAGAACAAGTAAGAACATTTACCAGAATCTGATATTGGTCTAAATCTCTTTTCCTATTAACATGTACAAGACTTTATCAGCTAGTTAGCTGCTTAGTACCCACATGGTATAATACCTTGTTTTGTCTTGTTACAATTTCAATATGTAAGACTTTCACAGTAGACAGCAACAGCACAATGCCACAATGAATATCTACACTGTGCAGCAGACATATATTTTGTAAAAGTACAGGGTACTTTATCTTTCTTTCAGGATTTTTTGTGCAGGAAAAGTTTTCTCCTACACAGAACAATAGTACCAAACATGCCGCCTTATGATGCATATTGGGTGGATTCAGAGATGTGATGATATACATGTAGAAAAGCTTGATGTATAGTATTACACATGTAAAAGTTACATTTAATTGAATCGGCCATCACAGAATTTGACTTTTTTTCTCTCCTAGCTGATGACACTGCCTGGAGCGCTGGAGATGATCTTTAACCTGTCCTCTACTGTGGACAGCGCGGAGCATGTCAAGGTTCTGGCTCAGACAACCGACCTGCTCCTCAAGTCGTCTCAGAAGCTCAATATGGATGATCAAGTATGAGAAGCCTTTTCCCTATTGTACTTTTGTTATTGTTGATGTCATGCATTTCAGGTCAACCTTGATAATGGCTTATTTAAGTGAGCAATATACGGAGTGTTTGGCATAGAGAGGATCCATACAAAGTTAGAAAGTCTTCAACAGAAAGAAGTTGTAGATTCTTAATGCTGTTCTTCATGCCCTTTTAACTGCAAGCTAAAGAAACATTCCACTTTTAAAAGGATTACGCGTCATTCAGATTTCTAATGTGTACATGTAACACAAGGTGTCATGACGTTTATTGTAATGAGACATAACACTTTTCTTTGATGGGCTTCAGGTAGCTGCCGGGTACATTATTGGGAAGCTGGCGAGGGCCATGGAGCGTCTGTCGGAGAAGGGAGTGCGGTTTCCGGATATGAAACCTGCCGCTACAGGTCCGTCCATTTTAAGACTGTGTAGCTGTGAATGTTTTTTAGACTGTACATCTATGATCAGCCTTCAGCTGCAATGTTCATGATTGATCAATAAACAATTGTGATTGATTGATTGATTGGCTGATTGATTGATTGATTGATTGATTGATTGATTGATTGATTGACTGACTGATTGATTGATTGATTGATTGACTGATTGGTTGGTTGATTGATTCATTGATTGATTGATTGATTGATAACTGCAACTTCCCGTGCAGCGATTATCGACACGGCGTCCACCCTGATGGAAGCCGGCGTTCAGGAGGAGGTCACGCTGGAGGACCAGTCACACTTCCTCCCGCCCAGGAAACGCAAGGCGTACCGGGAAAAACTGGAGAAGGAGCGGCGGGAAAAGCAACAACAACTGTGGAAACTTGTGCGTAAACAACTTCTGTATATCATGAAAGTCTATCTGTGTTGGTAGTTACATGACTTGTTTTTTGTTTAATGTTAAAACTTGCGATCCAACACAAGAAGTTCTCTCACCTAGAGCTTTTGACTAGTCACTCTGGTCTTTCTCAATAGACTGACCCAGTGAGGCTTGTCATGTGGCTACCAGATACCTTTGACCCAGTTTTGAAAGCTTCAAAGAAACCACATGACAAGTCTCACAGGGTCAGTCTACTGATGAAGACCAGAGTTATTGGTCGAAAGCTCTAGGTGAAAGAACTTTATTGTGTTGGATCAAAAGATTTCACTTTGAGCAACTACTGTATATTATTACAGTTTTTGAAACGTTCTTTTTAGAGTTCAGTACAAACATCAAGTCCTATGGGATATCTAGTGAGATTTTGCAGTATTTTGTCCAGCATAGCTCTCAGGATTTCTTGCGAGATTTCACGAGATGCCTTTCCGTATTTCACTGGATACCTTTCAGGATTTTGTGGGATATCTTACGTTTCGTTATAAAAGTAAAGCCTCTAAAATAAGCATTAAACTTGTACTTCAGAATCAGTAACATGATAATCACATGATTTCCACTGTATTTTTTGATACAGGAGAAAGAGGTCATCTCTAAACTGGTTGAAGAAGTCAACAACGTCGCCCAGGCTGTTTCCGCTACCCCGGACATCCCTGGGTCAACTACCCTGGGAACAAGATCAATGCAGCTGGTGTTGGACACGGAATCTGGGTCCGAGATGGGAAACGCCCCAGTTTCCATCCCGGCAGGACAAGTCAGGTTCCCGGATGTAAGGGCCTTGTCTCCTTTTGCCGCCTCCCGTCGAAATGTCGAATGGAAGGTACATGTCACTTTTGCTTCGGTATTGACAATAGTGGAAATTTCTTAATATCACTATTCATATTGTTGCAACTCATTACTTAGCTTGCTAGAAAGGTCCTACACCAAAGATACACATAAACCAACAATGAAGGAAAAAGGTAAAAAAAATTGTTGTAGTGATCAGTATCAAGGACAGGAATTTCAGTTATAAACTAGTGTTAATGATATAATCAGTACCAAGGACAGGGATGTTGGTTATACTATAGTGTTAATGATATAATCAGTACCAAGGACAGGGATGTTGGTTATACCATAGTTTTAATGATATAATCAGTACCAAGGACAGGGATGTTGGTTATACCATAGTGTTAATGATATAATCAGTACCAAGGACAGGGATGTTGGTTATACCATAGTGTTAATGATATAATCAGTACCAAGGACAGGGATGTTGGTTATACCATAGTGTTAATGGTATGATCAGTACCAAGGACAGGGATGTTGGTTATACTATAGTGTTAATGATATAATCAGTACCAAGGACAGGGATGTTGGTTATACCATAGTTTTAATGATATAATCAGTACCAAGGACAGGGATGTTGGTTATACCATAGTGTTAATGATATAATCAGTACCAAGGACAGGGATGTTGGTTATACCATAGTTTTAATGATATAATCAGTACCAAGGACAGGGATGTTGGTTATACCATAGTGTTAATGATATGATCCGTACCAAGGACAGGGATGTTGGTTATACTATAGTGTTAATGATATGATCAGTACCAAGGACAGGGATGTTGGTTATACCATAGTGTTAATGATATGATCAGTACCAAGGACAGGAATTTCAGTTATAAACTAGTGTTAATGATATGATCAGTACCAAGGACAGGGATGTTGGTTATACCCTAGTGTTAATGGTATGATCAGTACCAAGGACAGAGATTTGGTTATACCATAGTGTTAATGGTATGATCAGTACCAAGGACAGGAATGTTGATTATACCATAGTGTTGATGATATGATCAGTACCAAGGACAGGGATGTTGGTTATACCATAATGTTAATGATATAATCAGTACCAAGGACAGGAATGTTGGTTATACCATAGTGTTGATGATATGATCAGTACCAAGGAAAGGGATGTTGGTTATACCATAGTGTTGATGATATGATCAGTACCAAGGACAGGAATGTTAGTTATACCGATAGTGTTAATGAGATGATCAGTACCAAGGACAGGGATGTTGGTTATACCATAGTGTTAGTGATCAGTACCAAGAACATGGATGTTGGTTTTACCATTATATGGCAGTGACCTGAGTACCAAGGACAGGGATATAGTGTGTTTGTAGTTTGTAGTTACTTGATATCTCTACGAAAGGTAATTATTCAAACTCAATTTTTTCCAGATCACAGGTTTTACAGACAACCCGTATGTGTGGGATAGGTCAGCAGAGGACATCCAGTCATCTGTGGTGGACGTTACACTGGAGGATGACTTAGGAAACGAGATCCCTGTTAAAGTGAGCACGCCAGTGATTTCTTTAGAGTGTTTGTTAAAATTTTAAAAAGTTAAAGTCCTTCCAGCACCAAGTGGTGCATAGGGCAGTGCCCATCTTCAATTCAATAGTCCTTGGGCCACACAGAAGTGCAATCGCTACTACAATGGGCTAGTCGACTGCTAGTGGCGTGTGTTTAATTTCCATACTCATTTACTAAATTACAATTCTGAGTGCTAAGCAGGGAGCAGTAAAATGATATAATGCAACCTACAATCACAGTTTAGCTGTTCTCTAGATCATAAGTTCATAACTAATGAAAATCGTCAATATTGTCAATCATGATGATACATAGCTACATGTATTGTTAGCTATAAATTGCTATATTATAACTGATTTGAATGTACACCAAGCACTTTGTTGCTTCATCAACTGTTTTTCTTATATTTCCAGGACCTGTCAGAAGAAATCACCATCGTCCTGCAAAACAACCCGGAAATATTCCGAGTCGGTCATCTGGTGAACTACAAGTACTACGACAACGCCACGATGGTCCTGCGACAGTTCACAGCTCGCGAGAACCAGACGTTCGGAGTCACCCTGACGGTGCGGACTACCAGCTACATCTCATCAGCTAGGATATATGGCAAGATGGGCGGAGATCCCAACGACACAGATCACGACTTTAGGTACAATTCAATTCAATCCAATCTTCAAACAATTGGCAGACAATATTCTCAGTCTGAATTATGTTGTTTTGACAATTCAATGGTCTGTAGACCCATTGTACACTTAAAATTAAAAGTAAACTAAATGATCTATAATGAGCAACGTTGAATATGCAACAATTACACCACATCATACATGTACATTAAACAAAATATTAATGAAGAGGCATCTGTAATGATCGGTCACACTTTGGTTTTAACTGTATAGGTACGAAAAGTGTTCAGGACAACCTTGCAAAATAAGTGGAATACAACTCTAATAGTGTGCATGAAATCGACCTTTTTCTATACCCATTGCAACAAAGGATATACTGCTACATATGTGCAATGTTTAAAGTTAGATGTTCAATTTCAAGGGTTAGGTGTAACAGGTTGTTTGGTGTAATGTGTCCAGCTGCCACCACGCTGCGTTACGCCAAAGGGCGGTTATACGGCTATACAAATACAGATACATGTGTATGTGTCAATATGGCAGTCATTGGTGGCCAAAAATTCCCAAGCAATTAAGTTCATTGTAAAGCCTTTATTGCAGAGTAGTCAGGATATAACATTAATGACTCCACCCCTGAGGCATCGCCAAAAAATGGAGGATGTGGCAGCATCAGTCCTAGCCAGATTTAAAATGAAAAGTTTCCTTAAGTTTCTTTATTGCTGGAGATACATTTTGTTGTTTTTATACCAAGTTTACCACAAGTAATGTATCATGAAATAATTTCAGCACCAAGGAGAGACCCACATCTCAATACACACTAATATGTGCAGTGGAATAGCCAGGGCTCTATAGCCACTTGAAATTTTTTCCTTTAAATTTCCTGCAATTTGAGAGGCCAATCCTGGTGTTGAGAGTGGTTGTTGGTGATCCTTCAGATGTTTTCATATTTATACCCAAGATTTTTGTTAATTTTGTCTGTCGAGGTTGACGAATTGGTCTTAAAAAGTTCCGCCACACGCTGCAAAGTTCCGGAAAAAATGGTGCTGGCTAGAGCCCTGGTTATAGCCTTCAGTTTTGGGTTGTTTAGTTCCATTCTATGTCTTCTGCAGCAAACTCCTGACTTCAGACGACTTTGACATCTCGGGAACTGTGGGGAACCAGACCTTCACCGCTTTCTTTTTGATCTTCGTGGGGAAAGTCAACAACGGAAGTGGACAGTACACGCTGGGGCTACAGATAGACGGTATATCAGGCAGTTATTTTTGAAAATTACTGGTTGATACAGGAAATAGGTATTGAACATTTCGTAAATGCTTTTAAAGAACATTTTTAACAAAACACACAACAAAAAGTTTGCTACTCTGGGAAGCTTTCAAGGCACACTCTGTCTCTTCTTCAACTCGGTAAAGATCTCATCTTTGAGTTGTCCTTTCACTTGACTTGATATGATCACATCACATCAAAAACATCCATATACACACTCAGGCTCCTGGTAGTGATGCCCTCTCTCCCTGTTTAAGGTACTGCAATGTTTGTAAATGCTGTTTTCAAAATCTATTTGATTGACATTTGATATCCTGTCAAGCTCTTTAAAGCTACTTTACTCATTTATTTTGGGAAGGTTTAGCTTTCTTCCCAATCAAAAAATTTCAGTCCACTGTAAACCTCTCCATTTCAGAGTGCGAGGAGCATGGATGCAGTTACACCACAGACATGGTCAGCATGGGGTGTCTCTTCTGGGATACAGACGATGACACTTGGAAGGGGGATGGCTGCAAGGTAGAATATCTAACCCTTTGACTGCTAAAAGACTAGTCTGTAGTTGTAGCACATGTGCTGTCAACACATAGATTGTATTTTATACACATTGTATCTGAGTGAGTGTTTTACTGTGACTTGCAACCAGTTCATGTAGCTACTGTAAACAAGAGTTCCACGATCTCATACCTTCACCAACTGTTCAAACTAACGAAATTACTCATTTTTTTTCATTGGTTATGAAAAGAAGATCCTCATTTTTATTTCAATCATAGATTATATCAGTTGATCATATTCTTCACCCAATGACAGTATTATCTTATTCTAGCACATCGGTTGTAGTACTGCTGTGTTACGACTTTGTAATCTGGGTACCTTATAGTGGGGCTGCAATAATGAACGTTTATTTCAAGTTCTTGTCCGTAGGCTAATTGCAAATACATGAAAATAAAGGATTGACAATGGATAACAATATAGTATGTGACTACTCTGCTAAACACTAAATTCTAACTTATTGGGTTTGACTTCTTGTCCTGAAGCAGTGGAAAACGAATGATCACACTTTTCCTATAGTGTGTGGATTTTGTGATGTTAAGAGGAGAGTAGTTTTCTTTTTGTCTGTAAACGTGGAGAACTTAGGATGGAATTTGATGGCCTCTTCAAACAGGTCCTTTCTTTCGAGGTCTTAGAAGGGCAGTTTAAAATCAAATAATGTGATTTTGTCTTCCTCCTTGTTTAACATGCAATAATGTTCACTATTCCGTGCGCAACATGCGGTTTTTGTTGTTGATACAATGTAATATTGAGTGGTGTTTTTAACATATCTAACGACTGTTGTTGACCTCCAGGTTAGCAGTAAGACTACTCGGGAACAGACTGTGTGCCTGTGTGACCATCTGACTCCGTTTGGAGTGGAGATCACCCGGGTTCCCAACAACCCACACGACACCCAATCAGTAATTCTGCCGGACAGGCCACTTACATGCAGGGCTTGAAATTCATTTTTGGGAAAAGGTGCACAAAAATTTTTGGTGCATCATATAAAACAAAATCTAGTTACAGATCTCACTGCTCATCTTGTGAGCTTGAATCTGAAATAGGAGCTAACTTCAAAATCTTAAACAACTACTATATTATTTTTCTGACACTTAGTTGCCAAGAATATCCTGTATACTATTATACATTTAGTATGTACAAAAATACGTACAAAAATATTTGAGTGCACCAGTGCACCCACAGAAAAAAATGGGTACACAGCTCCAATTTTGGGTGCACTAAGGTGCACATGCACCCAGTATTTTGAGCCCTGAACATGTCTTAGACTAGATGAATGATATTATATAGAGAGAATATCGTGCCTTTCTCGAACATGCTAACGTCGCCTTACATGTCTCTGGGTAAATATCGTTTGCAACAATAGACAGTCTATGTGTACAGTTTATTAAATAATAATAATAGCATCTTTGCATGTTCATACCCATGGATGCTTATTAATTCAATTATTTTATATTATGTTAGTCATTGTTTGATGTTCTCAGCTGATCTACTTTGACAATCATTGCATTGAGGACTATATATTGTAAGGAGTTAACATTCCTTTCATGTGTTCCATTTAGATCTATTTAATATGAGTGAACCTTAAATATGTTACCCATGTTAATTTGACTATGTGTGTTACTTTCTTAAATATAATCTTTGAATGCACGATTTTTCTAGAAAAATAATGGAGCGGGCGGGCGAAAAAAATAAAAATAAAAACAGGCCTAGGCATCCTATTATGGCCCAAAATGGTACGATAGGAGCCATGAAGTCAACACATCAGGCTGGTTCAAAATTTAAACAATGAATTTTGAACTTCTAATGATACCATTGCATTGAAAGATGGAATAACTGTAACAACTAAGATGAAAAGGACTGTTTTAAACTGTTCAGGGCAAAATATGAGCATTTTGCAGTTGATTCTGAATTTTTATTTTTATTTGCAAATCAGAAAAAAATGAAGCGGGCGAATCCGTTAACCAAGAAATTAAATTGGTGTGGCCTTAGGTTGTATCAAGATGGAGATTACATTTTGGAAGTATTGTAGATAATCTAATATAATTTATCATAGCTAGGAGACAAATTGGCTGTTGGAAATGTTACGAAAAAAAACTACTGAAAAACTGTAATAATATTATCTATGCAACAGTATATATATATCTACTGTAAACACAATCCATACACATGATATCTACCTCTATCTAAATAATGTAACCAAAAATAAGTAGCATATAAAAAGTTTAGTATGTGAATAATACACGTTATTATATTGACACTGGAGTAGATTGCACTTTGCATTATCTGTGTCATTACTTGTTATGTCTCATAAGATTGAAATTTTAATGAGTGAAAAATGCCTTTATGAATTTTATCCAATAGTTTTGTGTTTCAAAAGCTGAACTGTCTATACATTTGCAAAAACGGGGGTGTGATAGGGGATGAATATCCCCTTTTTCAATTCTTAAAAAAATGAAACTTATGACATTTTTCGGAGCCCTTCTTTTCAGAGTACACTCCTTGTGGTCTCTCTATATGACTATTATATTCCTGCTTAATGCCTTCGTCCGTATTCTCGAGTTAAACGTAAAAATGTGTTTTTGTGATCAGCTGATTGCTTGCAGAACGTGCTCACAGTCTTGCAGGAGCGAACTTTTCGCTGTCTGAAATATTACCGCGCTTCAACCGTTCATTTCCAAAAAGACTGGTTTGTGACTATGTACTGTATTGCTCTTTTCTTCTCGTTCTTGTCCTTTTATATTAACCCAGTTTTGGCACGAAGATTTCATTTTGTGGCGAATGATTGTGCTTAACTATAAGTGGATGGCGTTCAGCACCAAGGACAGGCTAGGTGTATTTTTCTGTGTGTGGATGGCGTTCAGCACCAAGGACAGGCTAGGTGTATTTTTCTGTGTGTGGATGGCGTTCAGCACCAAGGACAGGCTAGGTGTATCTTTCTGTCTGTGGATGGCGTTCAGCACTAAGGACAGGCTAGGTGTATTTTTCTGTGTGTGGATGGCGTCCAGCACTAAGGACAGGCTAGGTGCATTTTCCTGTGTGTGGTTGGCGTTCAGCACCAAGGACAGGCCCTGTGTATTTTCTGTGTGTGGATGGTGTGTTTTCCTGTGTGCGAATGGTGTGTTTTCCTGTGTGCGAATGGTGTGTTTTCCTGTGTGTGTGTCAGTACTGAAGACACAGCTATGTCTACCTGGGTGTGTATGATTTTCAGAACAAAGGAAACATATTTTTAAACACAAAGTTGAAACACTTCAAAAACTCCCGTCTCTTTGCTGCCGCGGAACTAAGTAACGTTACCGCGAAAATGAGTTTACGGAACGAAATGGGACAAAAGGTTTCGTTTAATAAAGAGGCTTACAAGATCAAACTTGTTGGATTAAAGCCCTTAAAAAAGTATTTCTTTGATTGAATCTGTCTTCGTAATTAGATCAACAGCTTCACATTAATTAGGCACGGCTGTTTTGAACACCTGTGAAGAACGCATTTGGTATCGTCCATTCAAGATGGCCGTCCTTTCAAACGACAGGGATGCTTTGGGATAATTTCTTGCAACTTTTCGGGCACTTTTTCGAGTTTTTGTTGGTAGAATGACTTTGTAATGAGTGCAGCGGGACGTTGGGAAGTTTTCGTGGTGGATTCGTGCCGTTCTCGTGACGTTTTGAGGAAAAAATGCGGATTTCTTGACGTGGTCAATTTTGGAGAAGACAACATGGCGAGGTGCAGTTGGCATGGGTAGAGTGGCGTGGTTCGGAGACGACATCCCTTGTCTTTACAGGTAAACCTACTTGTTATTTGGCTGAAATTATTCCCTAGCAACTAGTAAGAACATGTTTAAGTTATATTCTTTAAGAAATGGAGAAGCTCCGTAAGTTCTGAGCGACAATTCCTGATGCAATACCGCGACGTTTTGAAACGGCCATTTTTGCCCCGTTTTCTTGACCATTTTCCATGTGTTGTGTTCTTGTTCAGGTTGTTGAGTAATACATGTATGCGTATCAACTATTTATCAAATATACGACGTTTTGAGTTCACATTGCAAAGAAAGAATAGCTTAAAAACTGCCTTTTCTTTGTCTCCACGTGGTTCAAAAACACCCGTTGGAATGTGCACGTGTGTATAATTGAATCCGCCAAATGCTCGAGTATATAATTAGGCGTTTATAAAATGAACGTAGCATAAAGCTTGCATTGCAAATACCATTAAAAAACTGTTTTATTTCTGACACTTCAAATGGTACCCATTTTTAATAACCAAGGCCTATGCATGTGTAGCCCGAACCATATTTAAATA